GTAAAGTTTATGAACACCCTAGTCACGCATGAGCTCCTAAGTGACTCTCCAAGCGGCCAATGTATCTAAAATGGAAATGATCTCCTCAGAATGGATCACATCAGAGTACGGAACACTCCTGACTGCTCATGGGATACTCCACAGGAGCAATGTTTGACTCCATGCTGTAAATACCCATCTCTTCAATAAGGAGGCTTTTGTTAGAAAGCCTGCGAGGGCCTGCATTCAGGACCCAAGGCAAAATGGGAAGCTGGCTTGGAGCATCATCCACTCAGGCCATGGAAGGGCCTCCATTTTCATACTCTGTCAGTTGCCAGCAGTAGCATCTCTAATTGTGTGCAGCACCCGGTGAAGAGAATAGTTCTGGTACAAGAATGTCTTGGGTAATTTATGTCCACCATGGGGGTCTATAGACGCTTGGATGCTCAATGAGAGGCTGCTAAGGCATCTTTGAGAAGGACTGTGGGGAGGGGGACACTAATGGAATGTTATTTCAAAGATTCCACAGCCTTTTGTTTCCCAATTCAACGTACCTCAATTTCTAAGTGTCGAGTGAATAACTAAGCAAGCAGATCTGATAAATTTGAGATGGCTGAGTCACTGTGGGTAACAGAATGTGCCCATGACATGGTTTCTACCACTGCTTCTGTCACGCTCTCAGCTCAGTCCCCTCCTGTTGCCTCAGAGAAAATGTACAGTGAGACATGTGTGGATCTCTAAAGATTTTTCCAAGTCAGCAGGCACAGAGTAGGCTTGAGTTGGGAAATGAAGAGCTGGCAATGGCCTATGGATGGCACCAAAAACAACTGATGCTAATGCACATGGACGAGGATGTCCCCAGGCAGATTCTGCTTGGGATACTTTGTTTATGTTTCTGACCTCAGAATTTCCAAAGATCTGTCCACGAACCTGATTTAAACTCAAAGACAAAGTCTGGGAGCCCTCTCACTTCACTCTTAGTTAAGAGCCTGAGCTGAGGGCAGGTGCAACCCTAGAAGGTGTTTTTTAAAATTGAGACAGGGGTGCAAGAAAGGCCCGTTGAGGACTGAGTCCTTCATCTCAGTCCTGCAATCTTCCTAGGAAGGATCCCACAGTGGTGCCAACGTTTGACGACATAAAAATCAAGGTTCAGGAGACCTTGACATTCTTCTGGCATATGAAAGCAATTATATTTTTCATTTTCTATATATAAAACACATATATAAAATACTTAACTGCCCTCATGAGTTTTCAGAAATGTTAGGAATATTGCCATTAAAGATGAAAAGATCCCATCACCTCAAAAAAACAATCCTGTGGTGTCCATTTGAATGAAACCCAATTCATAATTTACTTTTAAAAAAAAAGGGAAAACATTCTGTTCCCTTTGCTGTTTTACACCTTGAAGCTATTATTGCTCTTCCCCAATTTTCCACGCCATGTGCTGGACGTCTAAGCATGTAGAAAGGAAACCTGTGATCAGCCACCTGGGCTCTGGGGCTTTCTGGATCATTGAAATTAAAGACTCCCAGCCACTCCTGTGATGAAAAGATGTTGAAAATTTCCCATTTCTCCTCTTACACTCGATTAGGATGTTACTAAAAATCATACCTTCGCTCTCCAGCTCACTCAATTATTCCTGGGATGGTTGCCTCTAACGACCCAGAGCTCTTTGTGCTGTTTCCATGGGGAGATGACAGTGGACTCACAGAGATGTCACTCTACTCATAGAACTCACTCAGGATGAGCTAGAACAGGGCAGGTGAAGGCAACTGTCTCTCTAAGTGGGAGGAACTCCATGGTTTACTGGGGTGTATGTTGCACACTCCAGTCTGTAGAGCAGCAAAATGGAAAGGCCAAATACGCTAACATGTTAAATATTTAATGGTAATGTAAAAATCCTCTCAAATGACATTAAAAACAAAGACACCACAAATACCTGTGGCTTAGATCAATAGGAAGTCTCAAGTCCCAGATAATAATGACATCCTCCCTCACTCCTACCCTCATAGAAAAGATATAAACAGACCTCAGCCTATTAGCTCAATGCTATTTTTCACTTTTCTTCAAAGGACTTATTTGTATTCTATAAAACAAAGCTTCACTGTGTCCATCACTTCTGCTTTTCCACAAACATGGGGGAACCAGGACTGCCAGACCGCCAGAACTTGTGTGTTTCATGCTCTGTATGCAGATCCTACTGTGTCTCAGCTCTGCTACAGTGTGTACACTGACTCCACACTGCATGGCTTGTGGGGGACGCTGAAACGCTACCAGCAAGAGCACAGTCTTGGAGAAGGAAAGGCTTCAGATTCGCACAGTGGTCCTATTTCCCTGCCTGGGTTTCACTGTCTCACAATTTACCTAAACTAAAAGGCCTCAGCTGAGTCTAAAGGAGATATTGAAAATATTGTGTAGGATTCTAAGAAGAGAAGTTATGTATTTCAATGAGGTACTTCACAGTAAACAGGGTCTAATTCACCATAGGAAATACATCGGTGTTTTGACTATAAGTAGGGAAGGCAAAGCTGTTCCAGAGGACCAGGAGCTGGCTGCATCCACTGCAAGGCCAAGTCTTACTCTGCTGAAGAGAAAAGTGTCCGACAGCTTGTTCATTATAAGTACAGTTTCCAAGATGAAACTAACAGTATTTTGTGACCACAGGGGTAAAAATGATAAAGGATAAAACTCTAGATCATAAAAATGGCCATTTTCCTCCTTCTTACAAAAACGACTGACTGGAACTTCTTAAAAATTAACCTACCTTCACTACGTTGTTTTTGCCTTCTGGAAAACAATGATTCGGTTCACAGAAAAAAAGTTTACAGAAGTTAGAATTAAGTACACCTCCTCACATCATAGAATACAGAAAATAACCTGCCTCCTTGAATAGCAGTCAAATCCACAAATGCAGGCCAAATCTTGTAAGAAGTCCTTTGAGCACCATTACTGTTACACCTCAAGGTCCTTTAGGTCTGTGGTCATTCTTACTAGAATTCCTTACACCCCTCTCTGACTGCAGGTGCAATCCTGAAGGTCATCAGAAGAGGGTACTGAAGGAAAACATGGTGGTTAATTTTTGGGTTAAAAATGAATGAGAAATTATTTTCATGACAAAAGTTACACTGTAAAAGAATAAGAAATACAGTTTGCCTCATGAAGAAACACCTGAATTGTTCCGCACACGATAAAACTGACTCAAAACGTTTAATGATTACATGAAGAACCTTGCAAAGTACATCTGAAAATCCATAATCAAAAATCGCTATTAACATAGTCTGTAAAAATGAAATCCACAATAATATTAACATAGGATGCACTGGAACAGTTGATAAAATATATCAATGAAACAACTACAGAAGTGTTCATTTCCCAAACAGATGGACATACTTTTATTGCCATACACTCAAAGGTCGTTGACAACACATTGGGGGAATACGTTCAAGCTACGAGTAACAAGAAACACACACAGTCTTCCCAACATGAGAAAGGTGATTGTTCTCACATGGGAGAACTGGGTCAAGGCAGCTGCTGCACAAGGCAGCAGAGAAACAAACTCGCAGGTGCTTCTTTTTACATCCCATTGTAGATGCCATAGTGAAGCAGGAAAACGTGCTCACTAGCACTACGAACAGCAAAGGTGTTTCCTATACACACTGGACTTTACTCAATTATCATCTGGAGAACAGGGGAATCAGAGAATACTCCCAGCACAAAGGTCTGAATTGGCTTCCTGGTTGACACGAGGCCTTCCAGAAAGATCCTACCTTGAATGGATCTTTGATGTGAAACTGGTGGAGAATGCATCTCTAACAAAATGGAAATCAACTAATTCTTGGTGGTTTCCACAATACTCTTGACAAGAAGGGCAAAGAATCCAGAAAAAGGGATGGAAGATGGTGTCCTTGAAGCTCCTATGTAACTATCTCCCTCCCTGGGTGATGGCTCGAAAATCGGCCTAAGGCCTTGTGTGCTTCTGCCTTCCAAATGTCATGCAAGTAAGGCCATTGTGGAATTCCAACAAGCAACCATCAAGGGGACACATTCTTAAAGATCTAGCTCTTCAGATTACCCTCACTGACATAATGCAGTACAGGGGTGATGTGTCCAGCTCTAGATTTTGTTGCCCTGCCACAGGCCTCTACTTAATTCAAAGTCTATTCACCAAATACCAGTCAGAAGGAAGGACAAACAGCAAAGGCACAAAAGGGAAAATAAGAATTCACAGGAAGTACACTCTTGGATAAACTGGCCACACATAAATTTTTTCCCAACTGTTTAACAGTACAGAAAATAAAAACAGGCTCCTCCACCCACCACCCCCAAAAAGAAGCTTTCTCTGAAACATGTACAATATGTACAATGGATGAGGCACATGCAGCAACTGTAATACAAGGCCAGTAAGAAAATCACAACAAATACAAACTGTCATGTTTCAATACCGCCTTCACACAGAACAATTAAAACATTATTTAAAAAACTAAAGATAAAAAATTAACTGACTTAAGGGAAATGCACTACCTATGAATCTTATTTACTATTTATGAAGGATGACTAGCAGAATCATCTCACCTCAATATTCATTTCTGAAGTAATTAATAGAAATCCACAGTCTAATGTTGCACTTTAAGAAAGGCTTGACAAATACAATATATTTACCACTTGGATAGCGACTCTTTCCTGTTGAAAGTTTTCTAGAATCTCATGTACAAATTAATTTCCATGAAGCTTTCTCATATGACTTATGTTTACATTTCTTTTTGGTGGGAGTTTCACATAGAAGGGTGTAGGCCAACTGAAGTCTTTCTCATGCTCTGAACATTCAAGACGTTTTGATCCAATGAATCCTTTCTGCCTTCAAGAAAGAACTGGGATGAGAAAAGTCCCAACTTGTTTATATCTACCTGGTTTTACCTCTAGTGTGCGTTCGTGCATATCCTCAAACGTTTGCATGGGAAGTAAAGCCTTTCTCACGTTCCTCACATTCATAGGCTTTCTCTCCAGTGTGACTTCTTAAAAGCACTCAAAGATATTTGGAAGCAGTGAAGGCTTTGCTGCATTCTTTACATTCATAGGGCTTCTCTCCAGTGTGAGTTCTTTCATGTTTTCGAAGAGAACTGGAACAAGTGAATGCTTTACTGCAGTTTTTACATTCATAGGGTTTCTCTCCTGTATGAGCTCTGTCATGTACTGAAAGAGAACTGGTAGAACTGAAGGCTTTATGACATATTTTACATTCAAAGGGTTTCTCTCCAGTGTGAGTTCTTCCATGTCTTTGAAGAGAAGTGGAAGAAGAGAATGCTTTACTGCAGATTTTACATTCATAGGATTTCCCTCTTGTGTGTGTTCTTTCATGTTTTGAAAGAGAACTGGTAGAAATGCAGGCTTTACCACATATTTTACATTCAAAAGGTTTTTCTCAACTATGACTTCTTTCATGGACTCGAAGATAACTGGAACAAGCGAATGCTTTACTGCATTTTTTACATTCAAAGGGTTTCTCTCCAGTATGAGTTCTTTCATGAACTCGAAGATAACGGGAACAAGTGAATGCTTTAATGCATCTTTTACATTTGTAGGGTTTCTCTCCAGTATGAGTTCTTTCATGTCTGTGAAGAGAACTGGAAGAAGTGAATGCTTTACTGCACGTCTTACATTCATAGGGTTTCTCTCCAGTATGAATTCTCTCATGTCTGTGAAGATAACGGGAACAAGTGAATGCTTTACTGCATTTTTTACATTCAAAGGGTTTCTCTCCAGTATGACTTCTTTCATGAACTTGAAGATAACGGGAACAAGTGAATGCTTTAGTGCATCTTTTACATTTGTAGGGTTTCTCTCCAGTATGAGTTCTTTCATGTCTGTGAAGACAACTGGAAAAAGTGAATGCTTTACTGCATGTTTTACATTCATAGGGTTTCTCTCCAGTATGAATTCTTTCATGTCTGTGAAGAGAACCGGAAGAAGTGAATGCTTTACTGCATTTTTTACATTCATAGGATTTCTCTCCAGTATGAATTATTTTATGGATGTGAAGAGAACTGGAAGAAGTGAATGCTTTACTGCATTTCTTACATTCATACAGTTTCTCTCCAGTATGAATTCTTTCATGTCTTTGAAGATAACGGGAATAAGCGAATGCTTTACTGCATTTTTTACATTCATAGGGTTTCTCTCCAGTATGAATTCTTTCATGTCTGTGAAGAGAACTGGAAAAAGTGAATGCTTTACTGCATTTTTTACATTCATAGGATTTCTGTCCAGTATGAATTCTTTTATGTATGTGAAGAGAACTGGAAGAAGAGAATGCTTTACTGCATTTTTTACATTCATAGGATTTCTGTCCAGTATGAATTCTTTTATGTATGTGAAGAGAACTGGAAGAAGAGAATGCTTTACTGCATTTCTTACATTCATACGGTTTCTCTCCAGTATGAATTCTTTCATGTCTGTGAAGATAACGCGAACAAGTGAATGCTTTACTGCATTTTTTACATTCATAGGGTTTCTCTCCACTATGAGTTCTTTCATGGATTCGAAGATGACCGGAAGAAGTGAATGCTTTACTGCACTTCTTACATTCATAGGGTTTGTCTCCAGTATGAATTCTTTCATGAAGTCGAAGATGACTGGAAGAAGTAAATGCTTTACTGCATGTTTTACATTCATAGGGTTTCTCTCCAGTATGAGTTCTTTCATGAACTTGAAGAGAACTGGAAGAAGTGAATGCTTTACTGCACTTCTTACATTCATAGGGTTTCTCTCCAGTATGAGTTCTTTCATGAACTTGAAGAGAACTGGAAGAAGTGAATGCTTTACTGCACTTCTTACATTCATAGGGTTTCTCTCCAGTATGAGTTCTTTCATGAACTTGAAGAGAACTGGAAGAAGTGAATGCTTTACTGCACTTCTTACATTCATAGGGTTTCTCTCCAGTATGAGTTCTTTCATGAACTTGAAGAGAACTGGAAGAAGTGAATGCTTTACTGCACTTCTTACATTCATAGGGTTTCTCTCCAGTATGAATTCTTTCATGAAGTCGAAGATGACTGGAACAAGTAAATGCTTTACTGCATTTGTTACATTCATACGGTTTCTCTCCAGTATGAATTCTTTCATGTACTTGTAGAGAACTGGAAGAAGTGAATGCTTTACTGCATTTTTTACATTCATAGGGTTTCTCTCCACTATGAGTTCTTTCATGTGGTCGAAGCAAAGCAAGATAAGTGAAGGCTTTCCCACATTTCTTACATTTATATGGCTTCTCTCCATATTTTTGATACTCATATGTTTTATGTTCAGTGTGACATCTAATGTGTGTTTTGAGGGATGAATGATGCATGAAGACTCTTCCACATGCACTGCATCCCCATGGTTTAGCTCCTGTAGTTTTCTTGTTCTCACTGAGATTTGGAAGAAGGCTGAAGTTTTCTCCACATTGACTACCTTCTTCACTTTCACAGAGTCTCCCTACCCTGTGCTTTCTGTAAAAATGAGAAGCATATTTTTAATGATTTCTCTATTAATGATTTTATACTTCTTATGTTTATTATGATTGATAGGAAATGTTTATGCTTTCTTCCTTCTGTGAATTCTCTGAAATTAAATATACTGAATTTTCTGAAAGAGGACTTCACCCTTGTTATTTTCCAAACAGCGATATTGATAGATAAGGTTCACTAATACTATTTCTAAGTGAAATATTTTGCAAAAATTGAACCTCTACATCACATTTCAGAAAGTATATTTGGTGAAAATTTTCTAAGAATAGCTAAATTTGAAGCAAGAGTTATCTGTTTTGTTTGTTCTATTTTTAAACAATTTCTTAACATACAAGAATTCTCACATGAGACAGAGCTTTCTATTGTGTGACTCACCTTACTTTTCTCCCCTGGTCTTTGCAGTGATCTTCAAGATCACAATCTTCCCATGTTATTCCTGAAATGCAGATCCAGAAAGTTTATTCCAAATATTAGAAATTAGACAAAAATTTCTAGATTCTAAGTCTATGATAATCTATGGCCATTTCTACTTTATTTACTAACAACCTCCCCTTTCCACATTCTACATCTTAGAACACTGATGATGGGCAAGAACCACTTGTTCTTTCATTGATGATGTGAAGGAATGTCCTCATTCTTACCTACTGAGGCCAGGTGTCTGAAGGTTTCCCACATCACATCTCTGTAGAGTTTCTTCTGTGAGGGATCCAGTAAAGCCCACTCCTCTGGGGTGAAGTTCACAGCCACGTCCTCAATGGTCACTGAGTCCTAAAACACCACAAATGTGTGTAGAGTAGCATACATGAGCCTGACAGCACTGGGGATCTACACTGCAATTCTAGGAAGGTTAGACGGGATTCTATTCTCTCCAAACATTTATTCTATGTGTGATCATCACAAGCTCCCTCTTTTCTGTACACAATGCTCATCAATTTAACAATATTGTGAACACATGGAAATACACATTTTCACTGTGATCACATTCCATCCGATTTCTCTCTAAGAACAAGTTCCAGAACATGTTGGGAAATGACTCAAATGCTATACAAATGAAACAAATATCACTTGTGGACCAATGATTCTTCATAAGAAAAGTTCTTTCATCTTCTTCCATATTACCCACAGGTTACAGCACTCCATGAGGCAGAGGGTGAAATCTATGGGATGTTTCAGTGAATAAAAACATAGTGAACGGAGCCGGCCCGGTGGTGCAGCAGTTAAGTTCATATGTTCTGCTTCTCGCGGCCCGGGGTTCACCAGTTCGGATCCAGGGTGCAGACATGGCACCACTTGGCACGCACAGCTGTGGTAGGCATCCCACATATAAAGTAGAGGAAGATGGGCACGGATGTTAGCTCAGGGCCAGGCTTCCTCAGCAAAAAGAGGAGGACTGGCAGTAGTTAGCTCAGGGCTAATATGCCTCTAAAAAAAAAAAAAGAAAAAAAAACAGTGAAGAACTGAAAGCTTTTTGATCTGATCCAATCAGCAAACTGAGAGTCCAGGAGACCTGTGAAATCACACTTTGACCAAGCCCAGCTGCCAACATTGTCCTAAACTACTCCAGGCCATTACAGGTAAGCAGATACAGCTGCCTGAATGTAAATATTCTCGTGGTGAAACACTGCTTTTCACTTGTGTAATATGTATCATAGACTCAGTTCTACCTTTCTCACTCTGGAAGATTTGATAGGGCTGGAATTATTATGAACTGATGGCTCAGGCACAAAGAAGAAGCCATGAAAACTTAGACCATAAGATCACTATGCTTATGGGCCTCCTAGCTACTTCTCACCAATTTTAGCACACATTGTGAGATAATAATGTGCCACAAGAGTTCTTTCTGGTCAAATGCTAACAGTGTACCAGAGCTTGGCTCCCCTTGAGGAGTAGGTAAAGAGCTGCAGATTGGGGCTAGCCCCGTGGCTGAGTGGTTAAGTTCGCGCACTCCACTTTGGAAACCCAGGGTTTCACTGGTTTGGATCCTGGGTGCGGACATGGCACCGCTCATTAGGCCATACTGAGGCGGCATCCCACATAGCACAACCAAAGGCACTCACAACTACAATATACCACTATGTCCTGGGGGATCTGGGGAGAAAAAGCAGAAAGAAACCCACAGGTGGATTGGCAACCATTGTTAGCTCAGGTGGCAATCTTTAGGAATAAAACAAAATAGCTGCAGATTGCAAGGGAGTTCCTTGAAGTCCACAAGGGTTTGATGTTAAATTTGCCCATGATTATAAAATACATGAAGGATTTAACAGTGGGTTCCCCCCAAAGAACATAAAATTTCCTTTGTCCAACATCAAGAGGAAGTGTTTCCTGAACAGTCACTCTGGATGATGCCCTGCTGACTTCTGATCCTGCGCCTAAGGAGCTTAGAAGCTGTCATTCTTGATCTCACAGGAAGAAAATGAACAACCCTTCTTAGATCCAGGAGAGCCTTGAGGTCCCAGGACAAACCAGAGTCTCCAAACTTGGGAAAGACAAAAAAAAAAAGATGGCATTTTGAAATATGCCCCACATATTCTGTTCTTAATAAGGCCTGTTCTAAAGAAAAAAAAAAATCTATTTCCCCAGAGTCTAATGCAAGGGCAAAAATAACAAAAAAGACAGAACACAATTTCCACAAAGCCTAGGACAAGCCTTTGTAAATGAAGGCTTAAAATACAGATAGTGGGAAAACCTGAAGGAAAAGAGAGAGACAGAAGAAAACATCAAGTAATAATCACCAAATTACTCTAAAATTAATGATAGCCAGCACACTGTCCATCCAGGAAGCTCATGGAACACTAAACACGATAAAGTACAAAAGTGCACACCCAAGGGTATCACACTGAAACTAGAGAAACATCACAGACAGAGAATGTGTGGAAAAGTGCCAGAGAAGAAACACACCTTCAACAGAAAGAAACAAAGATTTGAATTAAATTGGACCACTTCTCAAAAACCATGCAACAACAGCAGAGGAGACTGAAAGAATTAGAGTGTTCAAAATAAAACTCACTTGCCTAGAATTCGGTCAAGGAAAATTATCCTTCAGTACAAAGAAGAAATAAGGACTTTCTGAGACAAAATTTGAGGAAATTTGTCCCAAGTACACATACTTAGAATGAAATTGTTGGAAAGTTTATCAGAAAGAATGTAAATGATAAAGGTAGGGGATTAGAAGAAGAAAAGATGAGGGGACATATCTTTTATGTTTCTTATAATTAATACAACAGACGACACTTTATTTAAACTACTGTCAGGAAGAATGAACTTGGTAATGAGAAGCTAATGGACAAGTGACATAAATGACAGCAATGTCACAAGACATAGGGAAAGGAAAATTGGGGACAGTGTGTTAAGAGGTACTTGCACACAGTGAAGTGGCACAGTGTTACTTGGCAGAGGGGTGGGTTAGTTGTAAATGTATGCTGAAATCTCAAGGGCAACAACAAAAATGTGTCTTTTAAAAAATGTGTAAGTGATATGTTAAGAGAGGGGAAAAAAAGAATTACAGGAAATGCTCAATTTTAACCAGAGAAGGTCTCAAAAAGGTAGAAGACAAAAACAAACAAGGGTAGAAATGGAAAAACTAAAATTTTGGTAAATATTAATCCAACTGAATCATTAACCACTTTAATCATCAATGGTCTCATTACAACGGAAAGACACAGTAACAGAGTTCAAAAAATTCCACTGTATGCTGTCTACAAGAAACCCACTCTATGTATAAAGTCAGAGGGAGATGAAGGGTAAAGGGATGGAGAAAAACAGACCATGCCAACACGAATCCAAAGGAAGCGGCCAGAGGAATAGACATCATAGACAATGCAGATTTCAAACTGAGGAAGATGCAGAGATAGAGGGGCAGTAGGTACTGCTAAAGGGGCCTATTCTCTGAGAAGGCACAGCAACGCTGCAAGCATGTACCTTAGCAAAGAATAAAAAGAAGAGCAAGTTAAACCCAAAGCAAGCACAATAAAAGAAATAATAAAATAAGAAAGGAAATGAATGTCATTGTGCGAAATCAATGGAGAAAATGAAAAGAAAGCAGCTGCTTGTTTCACAAGACCAATAAAATTGAGAAACATGCACTCAAGATAAAGGGAAGAAGGACGACAGAAATTACTAACATCGGAAAGGAGGGGAAATGAACATAAAATAAGATTTGAGAAAATGTAACATCTATTTATGATAAACCAGTAATAGAGGAGAACTTCCACTTCTTAAGAAAGAACATCTTCACAAATCCTGTAGCTGAATTTTTGGTGTTTGTTCCATATGATATGACTGTCCCTATGCAACAACTGGAAGAACTCACAATGACAGAAACGACTCCTGGGATTAATAAGAGAGTACAGCAAGTTTGCTTTCCTTCTAGACCCACACGAATAGAGTCAACTGAGCTTTGACAAAGAAGGAAAGGAGATTCAAATGAAAAAGCAAGTATTTTAAACAAACAGTAGGAGAACTAATGGATATCCACGTGCAAATACACACACACAAAACAAATGGAGACAGGCCTCACACTTTTCATGAAAATTAAGTCAAAACACATCACAGATCTAAATGTAAATTGCCAAAGGAATAAGCTCCTACAAGATAACACAGAAGAAAATCTGGATGACCTTGTGTTTGTTGATGAATTTTCAGAGAGAAAACCAAAAAGCAAGGGCCACAAAAGAAAAAACCAAAAATTTTACAATTTTAAGTCAAATGAAAAACTCCTCCTCTGAAAAAGATGGTGTAAAGAGAAGATCAACACAATTCAGAGTAAGAGAGAATCTCTGTAAAACATTTATTGGATGAATGATTGGTATCTGAAATATGCAAAGAATTCTTAAACTGTAATAGAGGAAAAACATGCAATTAAAAAATGGGCAAAAGATCTGCAGACAGCTCACTGAAGGAGAGATCTAGATGGGAAATAAGCAATATGAAACATGCTCCACATCAAATGTCATTAGGAAACTGCAAAGAAAACAACAGTGGGCAGCAGTAAACACTTATGAAATGGGTAAAAGTCAAAATATTCAGAACAGCAAATATCAGTGAAGATGCAAAGCTACAGGGAATCCTAGTTCATCGCAGGGGAAACGGGATTTGGAACACCGGGATTTGCAAGACCGGAACCTCCTTTCAGAATAAGATACACTGTCACTACATAGAGTAAGAGCCAGCAATCACGCTCCGTGGTATTTTTCCAAATGAGCTGAAACCTTATGTTCGCATAAAACCTACGTAAGAATGTTTAGAAGCACTTTATTCATAATTGGCAAGAGTTAGAATTTTCAACAAGATGTCCTTCAAGTATCAAACAGTCAACCAGTGGTGCATCCAAACAATGAAACGTCGTCCAATGATAAAAAGAAATGAGGTATCAAGCCATGGAAACACATGGAGGAACCTTAAAAGACGTTTATTAAGTAAACAAGCCAATGTGACAAGGCTATGTAGTGTATGATTCCAAGTATATGACATTCTGGAAAAGACAACAGTATGAGGCACTAGAAACATCTTTACGTGGGAAGGATTTGGAGGTTGGAGGGAGGGATGAGTCAATAGGTGGAGAACAGAGGAGTTTCACGGAAGCAAAACTACACTCCATGATACAGAAATGATGGGGACACGTCATTACACATTTGCGAAAACCCACAGAGCGTGTAACACACAGAGTCAATGCTAATGTGCACCGTGCACTGTAATGTGTCCACATGGGCTTGGAAATTCTAAGAAATGTACCACAGTGATACCCGATGTGAAAAAGTGCAAACTGTGCG